ATCATAACTCTCTGAACCTATCATTAACTTTTCACTTTTTTAAGTTACTCTTTAAGATACTTTAAAAAATTTTACGTGAGTTTTTTATTGGCCAATCAAATGAAAATTACATTAAAATAGAGTATAAGTAATACTTCAAATCAAAAAGTACGTTATCAGTTCAAATAAACCAATTACAACACAAATATCCCAAATTAAAATAAATCACCTTTTCCAACAGTATACAAAACAAATGAAAAGAAAAGATTCGTTTATTTAGTAGCCTATGAAACTATAGATTTGTTTTAAACTTGTTGATAACTTCGACACACTTTATTTATATTTCTGAAATTTAAGTGATTATTTGTATATAGTGGCAACCTTAGATCTTTATGTGCACATACCTAAAGTTTTTATATATAAACATATTTTAAAATCTCAACTTTTTATATATAATTATCTCAAATCACAATTAGGCTAAATTACAATTTTCTATAAAAGCAAATCAAATTTCACCAATGAGTTTGTTCATAAGTTGAGTCAAGCAAGCACTTTGCTGCTCAGCTTTGACTTAGTTATACCTGTATACACAATCCATTTCATTCTTTTTAATGAGATATATTGATATGTGAATTTTAAATTTCCTCACATTCAAAGGAACCAAAAAAGAACAAAATATTTTTTTATATTATACATATTCACATATCCTTCAAAATTTATTATTATAAATAGTTTAGCACTTTAGCTTTAAATGGGAGTCTTAACTTCCGCCATCTTAGGTGACAAGTATATCCTACATGTGGCAAGGACCAAACTATAGGAGTATCAAGTATTTGGAACTTCTTATAAGAATGTAGAAAGGTAAATCGTCATTTGGTACTAAACATTTGATATTAAAGGCTAAATAAAAGAGAGTTAACAATCATGAAAATGTTTTCATCTTTATATCACATATTAGCCTTATTATAGGTTTCTATTTAGGTCTTTCTTTTTTAAAAAAGAAAAAAAGTAAAAATTTTAAAAAGTGCAAGTAATACTGCAAACTTTTCAAATGTTTACTCTTATAAGTACATCTTACTTTAGCATGTTAAAACTAAAACTTGTTCTTCGTAGCACAATTAAGAGGATATTGAGACCCTAATCAAAGGAGACCTTATTTGGTTGAGCTATTAGCTAGAATAACTAATAGTTAATAATTGATATCCAATAATTGATTGCTACTGTTTGTAACGAACACACTCTTGTTAAAGCTCATAAAAAAATTATAAATTCTTCTTT